GCACGGTACGATAGTGGAGAAGTGGGCAAGGACAGGACCCCCAGAGGGGTCTGCCAGGGAGACTGCGACCGGTCGACTAAGCGGCAAGATTGTGGTGCGGTCTCGAAAGAAGGAGCGGGAAGCACCCGAGTCAAGGGTGAAGGTGTGGGAGGCCGGAGCCGACGTGGTGCCTGAGAGAGCAGACTCACCAGCACCTAGGGCAGCAGACTCACCAGTACCTGGAGGAGCAGACTCACCAGCACCTAGATTAGCAGACGCACTAGCTCCTAGAGCAGCTGCCTCACCAGCACCCGGAGCAGCAGCCTCAATCCCCGGGTCTGGCGGAACACACAGGTAACAGTCACCCTCATTACTAGTAGGCAATGCATACATGGTAGTGAGGATAGCATCATAGTCAAGAGTATAGATATCTACCCTCTGCCCTAGCAGCTGCACCCAGTCGGGGAGCTCAGCCGCGTCGCCAAACTCCGTATGCCAGGCGTCGCTCAGACGGGTGAAGCAGCGGGACTCCGTGTGACAGAACGTCCCGCAAGGCTGACCAGTCGGAGCACCAGTGCGAATGACGTACGGACAGCGAGCAGTACTCCGTGACCCTCCACTCTGAGCGTACCACTCACGAAGCTGCTGGGGCGAAAGGACCGCGCGCGGACGACGCTGCAGCTGCACCTGGCCACTACAGGCAACTCCCGAACTACTCACTCCAGGACGACTCCCACTACGGCCACCCCGACAACCCCAAGTAGCGTACCACTCACAAAGCTGCTGGGGCATGAGGGACTCACGCGGACGTCGCTCGAGCTGCATCTGGCCACTCTCAGGAGCACCAGGAGCAGTGGTAGCCGCAGTAGCAGCAGCAGTAGCAATAGCAGTAGTCGCAGCGCGGCCACCCCTACAACCCCAACTAGCGTACCACTCACGAAGCTGTTGGGGGGCGAGGGACTCACGTGGACGGCGCTGGAGCTGGATCTAACCACGCCAGGAGCAGCAGTAGCAGTAGAAAGAGCAGTAGCGGCAAGAGCAGCAGTAACAGCAGTACGGGCAGGGCAGTGCTCACCAGTGGCGAGTGGGTAGAGTGCCGCAAGTGGCTGGGCAAGGCCGCGACAGCTGCAGCTGCTCCTGCTGTTGGCGGCGGCGGCTGCTGCAACCCTGGTAGTGGCGGGGGCGGCTGTCACGGGAGCGGCGGCGGCGGCGGCTGCTTTGGGCGGTGGCGGCAGCGGCCGCGGCTCCGGCAGCGGCCGCGGCGGCTGTCACGGCAGCGGCGGCTGCGGCTGCTGCTGTCAGCGGCGGCGGCGGCTGCTCCTGTCACAGCACCGGCGGCTGCGACTCCTGCTGTCGGCAGCGGCGGCGGCGGCGGCCCCGGTAGTGGTGGTGGCGGCTGTGACGGCGCGACGGGTGCTGTTGCTGGGGCGACGACAGCGGGGCGGCAGGGCCGTGAAGGAGCCGCGAAGGGCGGCGACGGGGCCGAGAAGGGGTCGTGAAGGGCGGCGACGGGGCCGAGAAGGGGCCGCGCTGGGGCCGCGAAAGGCGGTGACGAGGCCGTGAAGGGGCCGCGAGGGGCCGCGAAGGGGCCGCCAGGGGCCGTGAGGGGCCGTGAGGGGCCGCGAAGGGGCCACGAGGGGCCGTGAAGGGGCCGCAAGGGGCCGTGAGAGGGGCCACGAAGGGCGGCGGAGGGGCCGCGAGGGAGCCGCGAAGGGGCCGTGAGGGGCCGTGGGAGGGGCCGCCTGGGGCCGTAAGAGGGCGCGACGGGCCGCTAAGGGCAGGGGACGCGACGGGAGGGTAGGAATACGCGGCGCGACTCGGGTAGGAGCGAAGCACGCTCCGGGCAGGAAAACAAAAATTTCGATTTTCAGTGGTGGGCCCTAGGAAACGTTCCCACTAGGGAACCTGCTCTATACCATGTGAGAATTACGAGGAATGAATGCACTAGGAAACAGGTGGGTACAAGTAGGAAAACCTAAAAGTGTTGTACCCTATATTATCTACCCCACTACAGCCTACACAGACTATAGCATATAAGTTTGACATTCCTAACGTTGGACTCACATATGAAGCTAACCTAACCGCCACCTTACAACTGCACGGCTACGTAGATGCAAATCACGCAGGAGACAGTGACAACAGACGCTCCTGCACAGGATTCATTTTTCCGCTCCAACCTGCTGACCTCAAATCTTGGAATTCCCAGAAGGAGGGACTCATCGCGCTTTAGTCAGCCGAAGCTGAGTTCATCGCCTCCAATGCAGTTGTTCGCGAAGGACTGTACATGCTGGAGCTCCTGTAGGAAGCGAAAGTGACGATGAACGGGCACTTGTCGTTACGCTGCGTCAATTAGGGCGCGATCAAGATCGCGAACAAGCCCGGCTTTGTGAACCGCACGAAACACATCGCACTCCGTTACTTTTTCGTCAAGGACGAAATCGGCAAAGGCAAGGTCAAACTAAAGTACTGCTTAGCCGGTGACCAGGGCTGACGATATCAGGGTAATTACCCTGATTTCAGGGTGATTACAGGCTTCTGACTTGGTGGTCCCTGCAAACACAGGTTTTGTATTTTGTGAACTCTGATCCTATCAGAGTATCTACTTAACGGACTCTGAATTCTTGTAACTAGGCTCAGAGTAGTGTACTTGCGGAGTCTGTCTATGCAGAGTACGCGTTCCGTGGACCCTGAATGCGAGGGTATTGGGACGAAGATTCCCGGAAATTTCCTCTCAATGACCCCCCCATGTGCGTAATCATGATTTCGCTTGTACCTTTCTGTACAGTAATACTGACAAGTAACACCCATGTGGGAAGGTGGGGTGGATGTTTGGGGGGAAGGTGGGGTGGGGTGGATGTTTGTGGTGTCGTGCGAGGCGCATCGTGTTGCGGGGATTTTCGGCATAACACCTCTGACACAGCAGATCTGTTGTGTCAGAGGGAATCTCTTGTCCTTGACAGAGCAAATTTATTGTGCAAATTTGCTCTGACAGGGCGAATCTCATGTGCCTTTAGATTCGCCCACGCGAAAGCAATCGAACGACATTCATGGCGGTGGCTGGAGTGAATGTTTGCAGATTGCAATGCGTGCGGAATTCTCCTAAGGAAGGGGGTTACACCATCGCCAGTTCGTGCGATGTGCTGTTTTGTCGCCTTTCTTGGCGCCAATTTTTTTGGGGGTTGTTTCGAGGTGTTTCGCTCACCGACTGCAAACTGTGGTTGATGGTGAACGTGCACTGTACTTTCGCGTGTGCTGAGGGTCGCAGACACCACGCGATATCGTTTTCTGTTGACTTTGACCGGCTAGGAAGTGAGGCGTGGGAAATGTATAATCCGCGTGGGAGAAATTTGTGTGATTGACTGCAACACTGATTTCTTGCTCTGAACCCTGACGAATCAGAGTGAGACGTTGTTGGACACTGACCAATCAGAGTAGCAAACCTCTGAAAAATGTGCCCTCATAATACAGGGGGGATTTTTTTCCCGAAATCAGGGAGGCCCAAAATGAAACGTCAGCCCTGCCGGTGACATGGCAGCAGACTTCTTGACCAAGAAGTTGTCACGTCAGAAGTTGTAGCACTGCACCGACCTCTGCGGGATCTCGAATAAATCCTACGTGGCTCACCTTCAGGAATGAAAAGGAGTGTTGGAATAACTGAAAAGGTTATCGTAACATTCCCAAAGGCTCTCCATCCACGCGTCACTCCATAACGAAGCAACGCGTCTGTACCAATACCGCAATAGCTCATATCGAGCATGCGTAAGATCGAGAGTCACCCTAAGGTCGACAATCGAAAGACAGTCAACGGTCGTGAATCTTGACCGTCCAGTAACTGCACTTGGTAGTTACAGGGTGCAACATGGTAACTGTTAAGAAGAGCAATAATCGTGGTTACTATAGCAATGTAATTCAATTAATAAAGGAATGTACCCCTCAGAGTACATGGCTAGCTAGTTTGCTATTTATATTGTCAGAATGTTCTTATCTAGCCTGTAGTGGGGTGCTCTATAGCGAGTACAACCCTGCTAGGGTTTGCTATATGTATCCCAACTTTTGCTAGTGAAACCCCTTCCTTCTTCATTCTAAACTTTCAACTATTCCTTACTTTCACATATACATCTGTATACCTATCTTACAATCATCTTGTTTTCTTTAAACTATTATTAACAAGGTCACTATCAAGACATATTTTTCCTCTTAACTCAGCAGACTTATCATATCCACTTCAATTCAATCCTTTGGTTCTAACAACAAACTATACCATCGATAGACCAACTCAACCTAGCCTAACGAAGTGCGCAAACGTATGAGTGTTCATTGACAGGTCGACCCATTGAGATGCATTTTGTCCATTATTCTTTGTGACATATAAATCTTCTTCAAGAATGCATGTTTGTGTTAGGTTCACGCCGTCCTACCTTTGAGCTGTAGCACTTTGCTCCTGCCCGTCCCCATTTTGTAAAGCGGATATTCGTTTCCGCACGTTTCTGACACGAGATGAAGTGCGCTTCATTTTCCATCAGATTTCAAAGAAAAGTACATCCGTTCCGTGCTTGTCTGAATCGTCCAATAGGCCTTTTCTCTTTCTCTGGTAGGCCGAAGCATCCACGTGGCGCGCAACGGAGAGCCAGCGGTCACCCGTGTCCCACCAGCCCCACACCACCCAGGCTTTCCCGCTTCCTCGCCACGCGAAGCGCGTTGCGCCGCGCGACCACGCGACTTGGTAATTGCCCAGCCGTTATTCTAGAGCCGCCCGAGGTGAGTAGAGGTAATGCGACTGCGCAGCGCGTTTTTCGCTCAGCTACGGTTGCCAGAGCTGCGCCCGCCAGTGCGGCAGTCCCTTCCCCGCGCGTAGTCCCGCCAGTGCGGCAGTCCCTTCCCCGCGCGTAGCCCCGCCAGTGCGGCAGTCCCTTCCCCGCGCGTAGCCCCGCCAGTGCGGCAGTCCCTTCCCCGCGCGTAGCCCCGCCAGTGGCTGACCGCCTCGCGTCGCTTCGTGGCGCCGCCTCTCCCTCCGCTACCGGATGGAGTCAGGCGGAGGGGGAAGGGGGAGGGGTAGAAAAGGGGCGAGGGGGGGTAGAAGCGGTGGAGGCGCACGAGGGAGGAGAGGCAGTGCGAGGGGGGAGGCGGTGGGCGCGGTGGCGGAGGGGACTGCAGGGGCGTGGTGGGCGATTGGGGGAGGCGCGGAGGGCGGCTATGCGGATGGGGGGGAAGCAGGAAGAATCGCGGCTAGAGGAACGGGATGGGGCGTGGGGGAGGGCGCGGAGGTCGGCGCAAGCGTGCGCGGAGCGGCAGTGGCAGCGCGGGAGGGCGGAGGGACGGGCGGAGGAGTGGGAGCGGTGGGTGGAGGAGGGGGAGCAGCGAATGCAGCGGAGGGATGGACAGGGGGAGGCGCGGAGGGGCGCGTATCCCGCCGCAGGGGAGGTAGGGGGAGAGGCGCGGATGGCGGAGCAGGCGGGAGTACGGTACGCGTAAGCGAGGGCGCGGGGAGGGGGAGGACGAGGGGTGGAACGGGGCAAGCGGACGGCAGTCGCGGGCGGGAGTTGGTGGCGCGCAGAGGGAGGGGCGCAGGTGTGGCGCGCGGACAGGATTGGACGGGGACGGGCGCGCATGCGCGTGGGAATGCGCGGATGAGAGGGGGGGACGCCGGCAGGGGGTGGGACACGGACGGGGGAATGGGGTACCTCGATGGGCGGGTGAGTGGTGGAGAGGCATTGGGAGCGGCGGAAGGGCAGCAGGGGCGTGTGGATTGGGAGGAGTACGGAGGTGTAGCGAGGGGTAGGAGAGTGGAGATGGCATGGGGGGGTGATGGCGAGGAGGAAGGGGAGCGGTGGGATGGGGGGGGCGAGGAGTCAAACGCAAGGCAGCAGATGGTGGGTGCAGGGCGCATGCACCGTGACCAGCTGCTGCCCCACCTGCAGCAGCAGCAGCAGCAGCGGCCGGAGGAGGAGGAGCAATGGCAGCAGCAGCAGCAGCAGCAGCAGCAACGTCAGTATGAGCAGCAAGAGCAGGTGGAGGGAAGGGGCGGCGAGGGGCAGTTTCGTGGTGCGGCAGGCGGGTGGGCGGAGGGTGGACGGCAGCACGCATGGCAGCTTGGCGGCGGTGGGGAGGAGCTTGGGCGCACCGACGTGGGTGTGGGTGTGGACGGTGGGGGGGATGGGGCTTGGGGGGAGTGGTACGATGGGGAGGGTGTCGGAGCGGCAGAGGAGGACTGGGAAGGAGACGGAGGGGAGTGGGGAGGAGAGGGAGGGGAGGAGTGGGGGGGAGGGGAAGGGGAGGAGTGGGGGGGAGAGGGAGGGGAGGGGGAGGACTATGAGCTGGGCTATGCTGCCGGCCTGGCTGCTGCTCGTGAGGCCCTCAGACAAGCGTCTGCCGCCACTGCTGCTGCACGTGCAGGTGTCGGTGCTGGCGGGGTGGCTGTTGGGGGTGCTGCTTCCATGGGTGGGGCTGAGGGGGCAGCAGGCGGTGCGGCAGGAGGCGGCATGGATCTCATGCTGCCTCACCACCCGCCCGCTGCAGCACCAGCGAGCGCAGCAGCTGCCCTGCACACACCGGATGCTTCTCAGGTGCCCACCGCAGCAGCACCCACAGCACCAGGTGGGGGCGCAGCAGGGGGGGGCGCAGCAGGTGGGGGCGCAGGTGGGCAGGAAGAGGCAGGCGGCGGCGGCGGCAGTAGGCGGCACGGCGGGGGAGGCAGGGGAGGCGGGGGAGGCGGGGGAGGGAGCAGGAGCGGGCGGCGGCGGCACGTGGACGTGAGTGTGAAGCGCGACATCTGTGAGCTGCGGCGTGTGCGCCCGGGCATCACGGTGGGGGGGATCATGCGTGTGTGCCGCGCCAAGTACCCGCACATGCGCCTCATCCCCTCGCACGTGCGCCGCATCCTCACCAAGGCGCCCCACTGGAGCTCCACCTTGGCGCAGCGCAGCAGCAAGCGGGTGCGCGCGCCCGAGAGCATGGCGCTGGAGGAGGCGCTCGTGGCGTGGCTGAGGGACATGAAGGGCGGCCCGGGCGCCACCAAGGTGCAGCTGCAGCAGATCTGCGCCAAGGGCCGCGAGCTGGGCCCGTCGTTTGGGGTGTCGCCCTCCTTCAGGTGCTGCCAGGGTTGATGGCAGGGGAGGTGGGGTACTGTGCCATGAGGCGGGGTACTGTGCCATGAGGCGGGGTACTGTGCCATGAGGCGGGGTACTGTGCCATGAGGCGGGGTACTGTGCCATGTGTCCTTCGCTTGCTGCTTCCTCTGCTCCATCTGGCCCTTACCTCTCCCCTTACTGCCGCGTCTCAACACTTCTCAGTGAGCCTACCCTCGCCCTGCCCTTGCAGGTACAGCATTGGGTGGGCGTGTCGCTTCCAGGAGCGGTGGGGGTTCTCAAAGCGGCATGTGGAGGAGGAGAGGGAGGCGTACTTCAATGACGACCCTGCTGCTGCCGCCGCCGCCGCTGCGGGCAGTGCGGAGCCGTCGCTGGTGGAGCTGGCTGATGAGATCTTTGGCGCCCAGATCCTGGTGGCACGCACGCATGGTGGTGAGGAGGAGGGGGAGGGGGAGGAGGGGGAAGAGGGGGATGAGGAGGGCAGTGAGGAGGATGATGAGGACGAGGATGAGGAGGATGGAAGGGGTGGGGATGGGAGGGGAGGAAGGGGAGGGAGGAAAGGGAGGGGAGGGAGGGGAGGGCGGGGAGTAGTGGGAAGGGGGCGTGGCAGGGGAGGTGCGTGGAAGGGAGGGATGAGGGTGGTAGGACGGGAGACGTCACTGACTGCTGGCAGGGAGGTGATCGACCTAGAGGGCGGTGAGGGGGGGGAGAGGGTCGAGGGGGGTGAGGGGGGTGAGGGGGGCGACAGGCTGCAGCGGCGGCGGAGGGGCGAGGGCGGGTCAGAGGAGCAGTCACAGCAGGGCAGGGAACAGGCAGGTGGGGGGGCAGGCGAGGAGGGCGATGGAGGAGAGGCGGCAGCAGAGGCGGGTGGATGGGCTGGAGGAGTGGACTTGCTGGCAGGCACGGCAAGAGGCGCCGCAAGGGATCGGGCGAGGAAGAAGGCAGCAGGCAGGGCGGTACGCGCGGTGCAGCCGAGTCGAGAGCTGCTGGCGCTGGCACTGGCAGAGGCTGGCGTGGACGGGGAGCAGGCGGGTGCCGGCATGCAGGGAGCAGGTGGGTCTGACTTGGATGATTTAGCAGAGGGAATCAGACGGGCAGCGCCGCCAGCAGGGGCAGCGGTGAGGGGTGCAGCAGCAGCAGCTGGTGCAGCGGCAGTGGGAGGGACGTTGGTGGATGTGGAGGCGGCAGTGGCAGCAGCAGGAGACCTCCGCCTGGACCCCCCAAGCGATGACTCCAGTGGTGGCCACACCCACGTTGGTGATGGTGGTGATGCTGGTAGGCGGCACGTGGAGAGGCAGCCTGCTGCAGCGAGGGAGAAGCGGGCGCCGGGCGGGAAGGGCAAGCAGCGGGCGGCAATCAGTGTGCGGGTGAAGCGAGTGATCTGCATGCTGAGGGCGGCCCGCCCCGACATGGCGCCCAAAGACATCCACCGCCTCCTGCACCGCGCCTTCCACGCCGCCGCCCGCCCTCCCCAAGGCACCGCCCCACCCTCTGCCGCCTCTGCCACCGCCGCTGCTGCTGGCAGGGCAGCGAGCTTGGCAGCGGGGGGAGTGGCGGCGGCGGGCGTGGAGGCGGCGGGAGTGGCGGCGCTGGACGTGGCGGCGGTGAGGCGCATCCTGAGGAAGAGCCACGTGTACCTCGCCCTGCCCGCCCACAGCGCCTTCCGCATCCGCCACAGCAGCGGCGCCCACCCCCAGGTGCAGGCGGCCGTGGCGGCGTGGGTGCGCGCCATGGAGGCACGGTACGGGCGAGAGGCGGTGCGGTGGGATGACATTCTGGACTATGCCCGGCAAGTGGGGCCGCACATGGGCGTGCCGGAGGGCTTCCGGTACAGCTACCACTGGGCTCGCAAGGCGCTGCTGCGGCATGGGCTGGGGAGTAACTGGGGCAAGCAGGTGGAGCGGGGCGGTCGGAAGAAGAAGGGGAAGGAGAGAGGAGATGGGGGAGAGATGTGGATTGATGGTAGCACCACTGATGGTAACACCACTGATGGTAACACGACAGATGGAAACACCTTCGACGGGCAGAGCAGTGACGGTGGAGGGACGGACGAGGAGAGGGAGGAGGGGCGCCACTCACTGCACTCTGACCGCCCTGCTGCCGCTGCCGCTCCTGCTGCTGCTGCTGCTGCTGCCGGGCGTGCAGGGGGGGCAGCGGGGGGAGAGGAGCAGCAGGAGGGGCCGCTGGACCGACTGCAGCGCCTGGCGGAGCAGTGGGCGGCTGAGGCACGCACGGCGGGGCAGGCGCATGGGCGCACAGGGGAGGGGCAGGCGCATGGGCGCACAGGGGAGGGGGCGGGCGGCAGGCAGCGGCGGTGGCGCCACACAGTGGTGCCGCCCGCTGTGAAGCTCGCAATGTGCGCCCTCGCCCGCGCCCTCCCCTCCCTCCCCTCCCGGGCCATCGCCCGCGCTGTTGGCGCCAGGTGCGTTGTGTTGGCGCCAGGTGCGTTGTGTTGGACTCCTTGCTACCCTCACCCACCCCACCTCCTCCCTTCCTGGTTGTAATTGGTTCATGCATCCTGGTTGTAATTGGTTCATGCATTCTGGTTGTAATTGTTTCATGCATCCTGGTTGTAATTGGTTCATGCATCCTGGTTGTAATTGGTTCATGCATCCTGGTTGTAATTGTTTCATGCATCCTGGTTGTAATTGGTCCATGCATCCTGGTTGTAATTGGTTCATGCATCCTGGTTGTAATTGGTTCATGCATCCTGGTTGTAATTGGTTCATGCATCCTGGTTGTAATTGGTTCATGCATCCTGGTTGTAATTGGTTCATGCATCCTGGTTATAATTGGTTCATGCATCGTGGTTGTAATTGGTTCATGCATTCTGGTTGTAATTGGTTCATGCATTCTGGTTGTAATTGGTTCATGCATCCTGGTTGTAATTGGTTCATGCATCCTGGTTGTAATTGGTTCATGCATCCTGGTTGTAATTGGTTCATGCATTCTGGTTGTAATAGGTTCATGCATTCTGGTTGTAATTGGTTCATGCATTCTGGTTGTTATTGGTTCATGCATCCTGGTTGTAATTGGTTCATGCATTCTGGTTGTAATTGGTTCATGCATTCTGGTTGTAATTGTTTCATGCATCCTGGTTGTAATTGGTTCATGCATCCTGGTTGTAATTGGTTCATGCATCCTGGTTGTAATTGGTTCATGCATCCTGGTTGTAATTGGTTCATGCATTCTGGTTGTAATTGGTTCATGCATCCTGGTTGTAATTGGTTCATGCATCCTGGTTGTAATTGGTTCATGCATCGTGGTTGTAATTGGTTCATGCATCCTGGTTGTAATTGGTTCATGCATCCTGGTTGTAATTGTTTCACGCATCCTGGTTGTAATTGGTTCATGCATTCTGGTTGTAATTGGTTCATGCATCCTGGTTGTAATTGGTTCATGCATCCTGGTTGTAATTGGTTCATGCATCGTGGTTGTAATTGGTTCATGCATCCTGGTTGTAATTGGTTCATGCATCCTGGTTGTAATTGGTTCATGCATTCTGGTTGAAATTGGTTCATGCATCGTGGTTGTAATTGGTTCATGCATCCTGGTTGTAATTGGTTCATGCATCCTGGTTGTAATTGTTTCACGCATCCTGGTTGTAATTGGTTCATGCATTCTGGTTGTAATTGGTTCATACATCCTGGTTGTAATTGGTTCATGCATCCTGGTTGTAATTGGTTCATGCATCGTGGTTGTAATTGGTTCATGCATCCTGGTTGTAATTGGTTCATGCATCCTGGTTGTAATTGGTTCATGCATTCTGGTTGAAATTGGTTCATGCATCGTGGTTGTAATTGGTTCATGCATCATGGTTGTAATTGGTTCATGCATCCTGGTTGTAATTGTTTCATGCATCGTGGTTGTACTTGGTTCATGCATCCTGGTTGTAATTGGTTCATGCATCCTGGTTGTAATTGGTTCATGCATCCTGGTTGTAATTGGTTCATGCATTCTGGTTGTAATTGTTTCATGCATCCTGGTTGTGATTGGTTCATGCATCCTGGTTGTAATTGGTTCATGCATCCTGGTTGTAATTGGTTCATGCATCCTGGTTGTAATTGGTTCATGCATCCTGGTTGTAATTGGTTCATGCATCCTGGTTATAATTGGTTCATGCATCGTGGTTGTAATTGGTTCATGCATTCTGGTTGTAATTGGTTCATGCATTCTGGTTGTAATTGGTTCATGCATCCTGGTTGTAATTGGTTCATGCATCCTGGTTGTAATTGGTTCATGCATCCTGGTTGTAATTGGTTCATGCATTCTGGTTGTAATAGGTTCATGCATTCTGGTTGTAATTGGTTCATGCATTCTGGTTGTTATTGGTTCATGCATCCTGGTTGTAATTGGTTCATGCATTCTGGTTGTAATTGGTTCATGCATTCTGGTTGTAATTGTTTCATGCATCCTGGTTGTAATTGGTTCATGCATCCTGGTTGTAATTGGTTCATGCATCCTGGTTGTAATTGGTTCATGCATCCTGGTTGTAATTGGTTCATGCATTCTGGTTGTAATTGGTTCATGCATCCTGGTTGTAATTGGTTCATGCATCCTGGTTGTAATTGGTTCATGCATCGTGGTTGTAATTGGTTCATGCATCCTGGTTGTAATTGGTTCATGCATCCTGGTTGTAATTGTTTCACGCATCCTGGTTGTAATTGGTTCATGCATTCTGGTTGTAATTGGTTCATGCATCCTGGTTGTAATTGGTTCATGCATCCTGGTTGTAATTGGTTCATGCATCGTGGTTGTAATTGGTTCATGCATCCTGGTTGTAATTGGTTCATGCATCCTGGTTGTAATTGGTTCATGCATTCTGGTTGAAATTGGTTCATGCATCGTGGTTGTAATTGGTTCATGCATCCTGGTTGTAATTGGTTCATGCATCCTGGTTGTAATTGTTTCACGCATCCTGGTTGTAATTGGTTCATGCATTCTGGTTGTAATTGGTTCATACATCCTGGTTGTAATTGGTTCATGCATCCTGGTTGTAATTGGTTCATGCATCGTGGTTGTAATTGGTTCATGCATCCTGGTTGTAATTGGTTCATGCATCCTGGTTGTAATTGGTTCATGCATTCTGGTTGAAATTGGTTCATGCATCGTGGTTGTAATTGGTTCATGCATCATGGTTGTAATTGGTTCATGCATCCTGGTTGTAATTGTTTCATGCATCGTGGTTGTACTTGGTTCATGCATCCTGGTTGTAATTGGTTCATGCATCCTGGTTGTAATTGGTTCATGCATCCTGGTTGTAATTGGTTCATGCATTCTGGTTGTAATTGTTTCATGCATCCTGGTTGTGATTGGTTCATGCATCCTGGTTGTAATTGTTTCATGCATCCTGGTTGTAATTGTTTCATGCATCCTGGTTGTAATTGGTTCATGCATCCTGGTTGTAATTGGTTCGTGCATCCTGGTTGTAATTGTTTCATGCATCCTGGTTGTAATTGGTTCATGCATCCTGGTTGTAATTGGTTCATGCATCCTGGTTGTAATTGGTTCATGCATTCTGGTTGTAATTGGTTCATGCATTCTGGTTGTAATTGGTTCATGCATCCTGGTTGTAATTGGTTCATGCATCCTGGTTGTAATTGGTTCATGCAGCCTGGTTGTAATTGGTTCATGCATCCTGGTTGTAATTGGTTCATGCATCCTGGTTGTAATTGGTTCATGCATTCTGGTTGTAATTGTTTCATGCATCCTGGTTGTAATTGGTTCATGCATCCTGGTTGTAATTGGTTCATGCATCCTGGTTGTAATTGGTTCATGCATCCTGGTTGTAATTGGTTCATGCATCCTGGTTGTAATTGGTTCATGCATTCTGGTTGTAATAGGTTCATGCATTCTGGTTGTAATTGGTTCATGCATTCTGGTTGTTATTGGTTCATGCATCCTGGTTGTAATTGGTTCATGCATTCTGGTTGTAATTGGTTCATGCATCCTGGTTGTAATTGGTTCATGCATTCTGGTTGTAATTGGTTCATGCATCCTGGTTGTAATTGGTTCATGCATCCTGGTTGTAATTGTTTCATGGATCCTGGTTGTAATTGGTTCATGCATTCTGGTTGTAATTGTTTCATGCATCCTGGTTGTAATTGTTTCACGCATCCTGGTTGTAATTGGTTCATGCATTCTGGTTGTAATTGTTTCATGCATCCTGGTTGTAATTGGTTCATGCATCGTGGTTGTAATTGGTTCATGCATCCTGGTTGTAATTGTTTCATGCATCCTGGTTGTAATTGGTTCATGCATCCTGGTTGTAATTGGTTCATGCATCCTGGTTGTAATTGGTTCATGCATCCTGGTTATAATTGGTTCATGCATCGTGGTTGTAATTGGTTCATGCATTCTGGTTGTAATTGGTTCATGCATTCTGGTTGTAATTGGTTCATGCATCCTGGTTGTAATTGGTTCATGCATCCTGGTTGTAATTGGTTCATGCATCCTGGTTGTAATTGGTTCATGCATTCTGGTTGTAATTGGTTCATGCATTCTGGTTGTAATTGGTTCATGCATTCTGGTTGTTATTGGTTCATGCATCCTGGTTGTAATTGGTTCATGCATTCTGGTTGTAATTGGTTCATGCATTCTGGTTGTAATTGTTTCATGCATCCTGGTTGTAATTGGTTCATGCATCCTGGTTGTAATTGGTTCATGCATCCTGGTTGTAATTGGTTCATGCATCCTGGCTGTAATTGGTTCATGCATTCTGGTTGTAATTGGTTCTTGCATCCTGGTTGTAATTGGTTCATGCATCCTGGTTGTAATTGGTTCATGCATCGTGGTTGTAATTGGTTCATGCATCCTGGTTGTAATTGGTTCATGCATCCTGGTTGTAATTGTTTCACGCATCCTGGTTGTAATTGGTTCATGCATTCTGGTTGTAATTGGTTCATGCATGCTGGTTGTAATTGGTTCATGCATCCTGGTTGTAATTGGTTCATGCATCGTGGTTGTAATTGGTTCATGAATCCTGGTTGTAATTGGTTCATGCATCCTGGTTGTAATTGGTTCATGCATTCTGGTTGAAATTGGTTCATGCATCGTGGTTGTAATTGGTTCATGCATCGTGGTTGTAATTGGTTCATGCATCCTGGTTGTAATTGTTTCATGCATCGTGGTTGTAATTGGTTCATGCATTCTGGTTGTAATTGGTTCATGCATCCTGGTTGTAATTGGTTCATGCATCCTGGTTGTAATTGGTTCATGCATCCTGGTTGTAATTGGTTCATACATTCTGGTTGTAATTGTTTCATGCATCCTGGTTGTAATTGGTTCATGCATCCTGGTTGTAATTGTTTCATGCATCCTGGTTGTAATTGTTTCATGCATCCTGGTTGTAATTGGTTCATGCATCCTGGTTGTAATTGGTTCGTGCATCCTGGTTGTAATTGTTTCATGCATCCTGGTTGTAATTGGTTCATGCATCCTGGTTGTAATTGGTTCATGCATCCTGGTTGTAATTGGTTCATGCATTCTGGTTGTAATTGGTTCA